ACTGCCTGGAGTCCATTCTGACCCACAGCGCCCCTAGAGGACAGAGTGGAACTGCCCACAGGGTCTCCAAGGCTGTCAGTCTTCACGGAAGCAAAGCCCAAACCACACCCACTGCCGTGGAGTCGATTCTGACTCACAGCGCCCCTAGAGGACAGAGTGGAACTGCCATCGTCAGTTTTGCCAGGCTGTCAATCTTCACAGAAGCAAAGTCCAAACCAAACTTGTGGCTGTGGAATCTATTCTGACTCATAGCGACCTTGCAGGACAGAGCAGACTTGTCCCATAGGGTTTCCATGGCTGGTGTCTTTACAGAAACAGAGAACCAGGCCTGTTCCCTGTGGAAATACTGTGTGGGTTCAAACACCCAACTTTTGGCCTAGCAGCTGAGTGCTTAACCACCGTGCCATTTGAGGTCCTTATCCTAGACCTACCGAATCAGAAATTCTGGGGCAGGGCCTAGCGATTCACATTCTGATCTGTCCTCCCAGTGACCTGATCCTGTCAGGTCTGAGACCCTGAGACAGACGGACAGTGCTCATACAGAGCTACAGACACAGAAGGGCTGGTGCCACCCTGTGCTCCGGGCCAGGAGATGGTGCCAACCTTTACCTTCTAACCATGAGGCCGAGAGCGTAGGAGGCGCTCATTTCTTTAAACAGGTGAGTTCAGAGCAGGTGATGTTACCTGTGGGGGAGTGAATGCAGGTGAAGCCGCCTTGTATAAAAATGGATTCCCTTTAATTAACAACTAAGAAGCCTTGCTGGTGTGATTGTTCAGTTCTCAGCTGCTAACTGAAAGGCTGATGGTTCAATCCATCCAACAACTTCACTGGAGAAAAACCTGGTGCCCTGCTCTCAAAAGACTCTGCTGTTGTCAGGTGCTGCAGGGTCAGTTCTGAATCCCAGCGACTCTACAGACAGCAGAACACTGCCTGTCCTGCACCATCCTCAGTCTTGGCTGGGCTTGAGCACATTGTTGTAGCCACTGGGTCAGTCCATCTCAATGAGGGTCTTCCCCTCTTTTGCTAACCGTCTAATTTATCAAGTATGATGTCCTTCAGGGACTGGTCCCTCCTGATAACAGCTTAGAAAACCCTATGGGAAGTTCTCTTCTGTAACACAGTTGCTGTGAGTCAGGATTGACTTGACAGACGCTGACAATACCTAAGGACTACATGGGAGGGGATAAAAAGCCAGGAACATGGACAGAAGAGCAGTCAGTCAGCCCCAGGATTACAGGTGAGGAGAGACAACTCAGGGACGCCTGAAGTAGCAAGCAGGAAGAGCAGGAGAAAGGGGATTAAAAGCCAGGAAGCCAGAGAGAAGAGCAGTCAGCCGAAGGGATTAGGTGAGGAGAGGAAACTCAGGCCCGCCCAGAGTAGCAGGCCGGAAGAGCAGGAGAAAGGGGATAAAAAGCCAGGAACCCAGACAGAGGAGTAGTCAGCCTCAGGGACAAATCAGGGAGGCACAAAACAGCAGGCCAGAAGAGCAGGAGAAAGGGGATTAAAAGCCAGGAAGCCAGAGAGAGGTACAGTCAGCCACAGGGACCCAGTTGGGGGTGATACGAGAGGTCTCCAACAGCAAGACAAACTTG